CTGTGACCCACAAAACAGAGCCAGTAAGGTTGGCTTTTCTGGTTTCAGACACGCTCGTACCATCAACATTTTCTCAGCCTCTTCTCACTGTCTCCAGAGAGGTGGGTGCCTGGGTTGAGAGATACTGCTGCTATGTGATAGAGGTTGAGAGACAGAAAGCAACAAAGGAAGCCATTCTTCAACAAATATGATATTTATTGGAGACTGACTTTGTACAAAGCAGTGCTAATATAGGGTTCTCCACGGAACTTCCCTCAGCTCTTAACTTACTTCATTAGGGCCTCCCAGGGTGTGTGCGGTGGGCAGTATGAGACTGGGAGCATGGGGTGTTGGTGAGAGCAGGAGGAGAGGTGGGGAGAGCAAGAAGCCACAGATTGGCATGAAGGATCCTGACCTGACTATCCATGCCATCCACGGCCCCCAGACTGACTCTGCATCCGGCACTTTGCCAGACAGCTCTGACTCATCATGTCCTCTGGAGCAGCTGGGCGTGGGTCATGGCCATATATGACCCTTAAGTGCCACTCTTCTTGGAAGACCCCCTCCAGAAGCATACTAGAAGCCACCTCTGAAAAGGCCTCATATGGTGATATGCCAAAATATTTATGTCAATGTCCAAACAATGTCCAATGTCATAAGACTGAAGTCTTTCTGGAAAACACTGTTACAGACAGGCTTATTTCCAAAGCCACCTTATTTCCAAAGATCTCACTCAGGAAGGGAGGCTCCATGCAACCTCAGGGGACAGTTTTAGCATTTGAAATGGTTCTGCTTGGAAAATGATTCCCTGCAACTAACCCTGGTCTTTCCCATGGCAATTTAACAAAATTTAGAAGGCACTGCCTTCAGCTAAGTTCATGAACAATGAATGCCAACCTTCAGATTCTGGAAGATTGGTTGCCCTCCCGAACCTTTATTCTATTATAATATTACTATTAAAATATTCTAATTTTGCTATTGACGTAACTTGGTCATGAATTTATGTTGTCATATAGGTCTGTAAGAGAACAGACAGTACCTGGACCTTATTTTATTTTATTTTTGAGATGGAGTCTCACTCTGTCACCCAGGATGGAATGCAGTGGCATAATCTCAGCTCACTGCAACCTCTGCCTCCTGGGTCCAAGTGATTCTCCTGCCTCAGCCTCTCAAGTAGCTGGGATTACAGGCCTGCACCACCACACCTGGCTAATTTTTGTATTTTTAGTAGAGATGGGGTTTCACCATGTTAGCCAGGCTGGTCTTGAACTCCTGACCTCAAGTCATCTGCCTGCCTCTGCCTCCCAAAGTGCTAGGATTACAAGTGTGAGCCACTGCACCATGCCAGCACCCACATCTTGCCAACAAAGGAAGTTCTCTTGACATAGATCCCCAGGGTCCATGGCCATGGGGATTAGAGGTACTGCAACTGTCAACCCATCAGCCTGGTATCAGGCAGGTACCAGACATATACCAGACACTGCTTATTCCTTCAGTGAAGTTCTGCTGAGCTCTGAGAAGGCCTGATCACTGCTCTTGAGTTTATATCTGGAAGTGGGATTGGATGCAAACAGCTAAGTCCATGGCACAAAATAGAATTAATATCATAGTCATAATTGATCACATGGTCACAACCAGTGCTACTGCTGCCCAGAAAATCTGTCTTCTCAGATGTCAGCAGGGAATATAATAGTGTCACTTTCATTTCACTTCTAGAGCAAAGCTTAACTAACTTTCTTGAGTGTGAGATGCTCATAGAGGATGTTGTTAAAATGCAAATTCCCAACACCCTCCACCCAGCCGGAGTCTACTTCTGTGGGTCTAAATGGGACCCAGGAATGGCACTTTTAATGGCCCCCTCATGAGACTGGTGTGGGTGGTTCTCAAACCCTGTGAGGTAGGCTCTCCATGCAGCAGAGCCTGGGGGAGGCCCATTTGTGCTTAGACCACTGAGAAATTTATAGGCTCGATAGACCTTTGGTCTGACTTTTTGGACGGCTGCAACCATGAGTGAGTGGGCATGAAAAGCACTCTAAGAGCTCACATTGATTAGGCTCTTATCAGTACTGAGAGAGACATTCTCACTTCACAAGCTTGGATGTGCAAAAAGAAAAAAATCAATTATTTCTTTAAATCAGTTAAATCTCATTTCAAACCCCCATCCTGCTGTCTGGCTGGAAATTCGACATCAGCCATGCTTGGGTCTGACTCTTAGAGCCATCTGAAGGTCCTTGGATGCTTGTGCATTCAAGGGTGCCATCGTGGGTCTTGGTCCCTTTCACATTTGAGGCTATTTAATGGCCCTGCTTCTCACCTGAGCCTGGAAACCCTACAAAGCCCAGACCCCAGGGTTAGGGCCACCTCCCTGCATACACTCGAAGCTATGCCCTCCCCCAGCCCCAGTCCTAGGAAGCCCACCTCTCTGCACCACTCCCTTTGCCCCCATAATCCAGCCCCTCAAGGGCTGAACAAAAAAGCCAGAAAAGGGCTGGGGCGCGGTGGCTCACACTTATATCTTAGCACTTTGGGAGGCTGAGGCGGGTAGATCACCTGCAGTTGGGAGTTTTTCAAGACCAGCCTGACCAACATAGAGAAACCCCATCTCTACTAAAAATACAAAATTAGCATGGTGGCGCATGCCTGTAATCCCAGCTACTCGGGAGGCTGAGGCAGGAGAATCGCTTGAACCCGGGAGGCGGGAGGTTTTAGTAAGCTGAGATTGCACCACTGCACTCCAGCATGGGCGAAAGAACAAAACTCTGTCTTAAAAAAAAAAAAAAAGCCAGAAAAAGAAGAGCGTGCAGGAAATTTTTTTATTCCATCCTTCTTTGACCCTTCTTGAAAAAAGAAAGCGCAAATACAGTGATAACTAAATATTATATCTCCATCAATTATCCTTTGGCCCAAAGCCCCCTGGGGTGATCCTCCATGACGGATGCCCCATTTAAAGGTGAGGAATCTGATCCTGAGGAAGCAACCATCGTGACCAACTTCACACAGATAGTAACTGGCCAGGCCTGGACTCACACCAGGCTGTACACCTCTTTCTGGTCCAGCCCAATCTCCCCAGCTGAGTCGTTCTGAAGAGTCAGGGTGGACTGAAATCGTGGGAAGGCCCTTCTTTTCCCACTGATGTTCACTGGCCCATGGGAGGGAAGTAGTGGAGCAGGAGAACCAGGCCACAGTTCATTTACTTACCTTCTATTTAGCAACATCACAACTATTCACTAAACAGGGCCACTTTCTCCCTATAGCACCATGAATTAAAGGAGAGTTGTGGAGAAAAGAGACAAACAGGGAAGGGTTTTGAGAAGAAAGGGCCCTGAGAACCCTGCACACAGACCTTCGAGGGAACAGCCCCATCTGGTGACTGATTAGCAGATTCTTGCTCAAGAAACAAAGCCATATTGTGATTTTCTTTAACCTCTCAAAGATGGAGAGAAACAGTTAAGCTGGAGTCCAAAGCCAGTCAGTATCAAATTGATATTAAAATATTATATTACACACTTCCAGAGAGATCAGCAGTGGCTCTGTGTGTATGCATGTGTGTGTGTGTGTGTATGGGAGAGAGAAATCACGCAAATCCAGGAGAAATACATCCTATCTTTCACAACCACAGGAATTAAATACCTGGCAGAAACGTCCATCTCCTGCCAATAGCACCAGATACCAGATTCATTATAACCTTTCATCAGAGATTAAGTATGGAAACAGATCCTGTGCAAGCCCTTGGCACATCATACATGAGAGGTAGTTTTTCTCCATGACACACCCTGGCCGTTCCTCCATGCTCCCAGCCACATCACGTTCCCAGCCCTGCTACACTTTGGCAATAATAACTAAAATGTGCACAGATCTTTACCGTTTACCAAGCCATTAATTCATTTAAAACACTTCTTTAATCCGTAAATCAGTGAGGAGACGCTTGGCTATGCTGTGGTAACAGACCTCTCTAATCTTAGTCACTTGGCACAACAAAAGATTAGATCTTGCTCACAGAAACCTTCGGTGATCTGGGTGACTCTCAGGGCAGTGGCTCAGTAATGCCCCCTGTCTGCTCAGGGCCAGGAGAAATGGCCTCAGAGCCCCCCAACCAGTGTCTCAGTAACCCCGGCTTTTTGGATCCTGAGTTATTCCATTTCATTATAAGCTGTCATGATCAACAGGGCAGGGGAAGGACGTCCTGGAAGATCCTGCACTGCTAAGCAATGCTTTGGTGCAAAGTAAGCCTCTTCACTGTGCTCCCAGCCCAGCTGCCACAAAGGCGGGACAGAATATCCTGTGTGCTCAGCAGAAGGAAAGAGCAGATATGGATGCACACTGGAACCCTCTACTGTGGGGAGGGAACGTAGGTGGACACAGCTGCTCACCGGGACACTTAAACCAGCTTCGCGGGGCTGTCAGGGTGGGGAAGCACGGTCAGGAAGCACAGTCTGGAAAGATTTCCCAATGGAGGAAGCACCAGCAGTGGCTCCCTGCAGCTCAGGAGATGATGCCCAGGCAAGGCTGAGGCAGTCTGCAGAGGGCTGGGAAGGTGGGAAAGACGATTTGCTCAGAGGAGGCAGAGATGAGGTGGGGGCCAGGAGAGATGCAGGGTCAAGAATAGAATGGCTTCAGAGGGGAGAGATTTGCAAAGGACCACAGGGTGGGGAGGCTGCGGAGCCCAAGAGGACAGCTGACGAGTGAGACCCTGCAGGCGAGGAGGAGGTGGGCTGACTCTCATGGCAGAATCGCACTGGAGGTTCCCACCAGCCCTGCGGGGCGGCCATGCCTAGTCCCATCCTGCACATGGAGAAAATGAGGCCCCTTCCAGTCATGCCTCTCGTCTCCCTGCATGTATGCAGTATGTGATGTGTATAAGGACAAGAGATGACAAACACATGACCCCTACTCTTAAAGGACATACAATCCAGAGCTAGGACGAGACCTTAACACAGTGCTCTGAGTTCATTTGCTGAGCAGTGGGAGAAGGGGCTTGATCCTAGCCATGCAGGAGAGACTGGATTTCAAGAGAGTTGAATATGCTGGGGAAGACTTTCTGGGTCTTCCTTACCCAGGAAGGTAAGGAAGCAGGAAAACCCGTGCACAGTCTGAGAACTCGCTGGCCGAGGCCCGTGAAGGAGCCACAATTAGGCAGGAGAGGCAGGCAGATCCAGGCTGAGACCGTCCTGGCGGGTCTTGGGGCTGGCTTACACCAGGCGGTGAGGAGTGGGCTCTGCCTGGTCCTGGCTCCTGGGTCCTGGCTCATATGCGCTTCCACCCACTCAGGGCCTGGAGGAATGGCCTCAGAGCCCCCGCCAGCCGGGCTCAGGAAGGCATTCCTAGCTCAGAGTACCCTCCTGGAGTCTACACTGGAGAGACTCCTGAGCGGGCCAAGCCACACACCGAGATGAGCAGAGGCTGCAGTCCTCCCGCGTAGATTCCACCCCTGCTCAGCACACCCACGGAGCTCCCACCTTGCCCACCTGGGAGGAACCACCCGCTCTGCCCCTGCTCAGGGAGAGGTGGCGGCCGCTGCTCTACCCCTTCCTTCCCTTCCTCTTCCACCTTCTCTGTCTTCTCATCTGGGTGCTGGAACCCGTGTGTGAAACAGAGTCAGAAAGCCTCAGTCTCAAGGCAGAGTGGGGCTGCTCATTTAAAACGGCTTCTACTCAGGTCCCCAGCATGACTTAATCTCTTTCTCTTTGCTCTACAGGTCTATAAATGGGCCATACAGCAGGCATTCCCTTTTTAAATCCATAAAATCCCCAAATCCATTAAAAGTGACTTCAGAGGTCCCAGAGAGGGACCAACATTTGTTTAAACCTTTGTCCTCGTGACATCTTATGACCGCCAGCTTACAAAAGAGGGACTGGAGCTCTGGGTGAGACACACTCTCCCTTGAGTCCACGTTGGAAGGGACAGAGGCAGGTGTCACACAATTCCTCTTTGACCCGACCCGCTTTAAGCCCAGAGTTTCAACAGCTCAGTTGGGTTGAAGGCTCAGAATGGACCAGACATACATTTGCGCCTTGAACCTTCGTGACAGCCCTGTGAGACGCAGTTGTCGTGCCGTTCCGCAGACGTGGAAAGCGGCCCAGGGGCCTGCGGGCTCGGCTCCTTTGGCTTCCTCCGAGAAGGCGCCGAGGCCCCAGCCGCGTGGGCGAGGCGGGGTGCGCGGCCCCCAGTCGGCCACCAGGGGGCGCCGCCCCCCGCCGCGGCTCCGGGAAGCCACCCGCGGCAGCGCCACGCCCGCCCGCCCACGGGACGCCTCTGCGGCCCCACGGAGAGCCGGGCGGGACTCCCACCACCTCGCACAGCCCGCTGCCCCGCCGGGGCGCCCTCGGGCCTGGGGGACTCCCCGCGCCCAGCGCGCGCACGCACGCCTCCCCCGACTCCGGACACCCCCGAGGGGCCGGGGGCTGAGCCCACTCGCGGCTGCTCACGGGACACGGCCTCCAGGAGCCTTCCTCTCTGCCTCCCCGCGACAAAGCACCGTTTAGTCCGTTTCTATTTTCAGCATGAACGTGTAACGCGTTAGAGAACAAGGGAAGTAGAGAGTAAGGTGCCACGAGGCACCCACCGAGAGGGCCCGCGGGCACACGCGGCTTCCCACGCCCTCTGACCGGCCGTGGGCAGGGTGGTCCCCGGACGCACGGTGGGGCCATTCGCACCCAGAAGCTCCCTACAGCGTCACCGGCACCACCTGGGAACCACTGTTCAGCCACTGCCGGGGGCTCAGGAGCCTCCGTTTGCTCCTTCTTCCGTTTCCCAAAACCTTCACCAGGGCACCTCCTGGGGCCTGGTCCTGAGATAGGCGAGCATGTCAGGAAGAAACTGATGTCAGCATTCCGGGCACTGTACACCCCGGGAAAAGGCAGGCACCCATCCCGTCACAGACTCACGCACCCAGGCAAGCTGAGCACCAGGCCTGTAAGGGCGAGCAGGACAAACAGAAAGCAGACGACCAAGAAACCACCCAAACTACGGCTGCAATTGGCTGATCAATTAGAGGTGCAATAGTGCCACGAAGGAGAAGTGCAGACAGGTAGACGGAAATGCAGGGGAAAGCGGGTTTATGTGGTGGATTAAGGAAGGTGAAAGAGGCCTGTTTTCTAGGGGACGGGAGATCTGCAGCAGATGTGACCTGCTAGAGAATCAAGTCCAACACTGAGATCCTCGTCTTCCGCAAACCTCCTTTCCGTGACTTTCCTGTCTCAGTGAATGGCACTTCTAGCCTTAGTTGATTAGACCAAAAACCTGGAGACAATAGAAAACAAGCTTTAAAAAGATATTTTTTTTAAAAAATCTACTTTACTGACATTTAATTTATGAACAATGAAAAGCATGAATTTTAGGCCTACTTACTGTTCAATGAGTTTTGATAAATGTATGTAACCATATGACCACCATTTAAATCAAGGTATAGAACATTCCCATGACCACCAGAAAATTTCCTGATACCTCTTTCCAGACAGTGCTATCTCCACCTCCTTACTCCATCCTCCTTCCTTGTGCAAGCAACCAATGATAAGCCTTATTTCACTATAGTTATTAACTTAACCTGTTCTAGAATTTCATATAATTGTGTTCACAGAATACATTATTTTACGTATCTGGTTTCTCTTGCTTAGCATAATGTTTCTGAGATTCATTCGTGTGGCTATGCATATGAGTAGTTCAATCCTTATCATTGCTGGGCGGTATTTCATTGAATGAATAGATCATAATTTGCTTATCTGTTTACCTTGGCATCTAGGTTGTTTAAAACATTTCTGCTATTATGAACAAAAATTAAGCAGTGTACATTTGTGCACAAGTCTTTCCGTGGACCTATGCTTTCGTTTCTCTTGGGGAAACACTTAGGAGCAAAACTTGCTGGATCACAGGGTACCTGTACATTTAACTTTATAAGAAACTACCTGTTTCCAAAGTCGTGCCACTTAATGCTTCCCACTGCGGAGAAGTCAGTTGCTCCATATCATTTTGAAAATTTGGCATCATTAGTGACTTTTTAAATCAACTGTATTGAGGTTTAATTGACATGCAATTTATCTATATATTTTTATTTTTATTTATTTATTTTTTGTTGTTGTTGAGATGGAGTCTTGCTCTGTTGCCCAGGCTGGAGTGCAGTGGTGCAATCTCAGCTCACTGAAACCTCCGCCTCTTAGGTTTAAGCAATCCTCATGCCTCAGTCTCCCAAGTGACTGGGATTACAGATGCACACCACCACACCCAGCTCATTTTTTTTTTATCTTTATTAGAGATGGAGTTTTGTCATGTTGACCAGGCTGGTCTTGAGCTCCTGACCTCAAGTGATCCACCCGCCTTGGCTTCCCAAAGTGCTGGGATTACAGGCATGAGCCCATCACGTCCAGCCAATATATTTTTAGAATAAGGTCAATTTATTCTGATAAATGTGTACATCCATGTGACTTCCATATCCAAATTAAGATATAGAACACATCCATCTCCCGAGTGAGTTCTCTCTTGCTCCTTTATGGTCTCCTCATTACCATACCTCTTCTCCCCAGGGAACCACTGATCTGCTGTAGATTAGTTTTGCCTGTTCTAGAACTTAATGTAAGTGGAATCTTAAGTATGTCCTCTCACCATTATGCTTTTGGGTGAGATTCATCCATGCTGTTGTATGAATCAGTAGTTTATTCCTTCCCTCACATGTGAAATGGGTTTTAACTTTATAAAACATTTTTAGATCTTTACATTATGAACATCTTTAACAGTCATGAAATCATTATTTCAAATGGCCTAAGCCCATCAGTTAGCATTTCAAGCGATCTTACTACATCTTAAATATCTAATAAAATACATAGTTTTAAAAGTCACATATTTGTAGAATGAAACTAGTAAAGGCTTATCATAAAGACTGCCTGTTGAATATTCCTGTTTTCCATTATATCCATAGGTAGTCTCTGAAGTAGGATCAGATTATGACAATCAGAACATCTAAGTTTCTATGAAGGCATACATTTAGTGTCTGCTTTTTCAGTTTTCACATTAAATTGCTAATAAGACTATCTGAAAAAAGTGAAAATATTAACTATCCTATGCTTGGTTAGTTTTCTACAGGGTATTTTTAACTGAATTTTTTAAGATATTTCTAGATTTGCATGCAGTTGTAAGAAATAATACAGACAGTAAAGTGACTGGGCACAGTGGCTCACCCCTGTAATCTCAGCACTTTAGGAGACCAAGGTAGGCAGATCACCTGAGGTCAGGAGTCCAAGGCCAGCCTGGCCAACAGGGTGAAACCCTGTCTCTACTAAAATACAAAAATTAGCTGGGCGTGGTGGCAGGCGCCTGTAATCCCAACTACTTGGGAGGCTGAGGCAGGAGAATCGCTTGAACATGAGGAGGCAGAAGTTGCAGTGAGCCGAGATTGCACCACTGCACTCCAGCCTGGGTGACAAGAGCAAGACTCCATCTCAAAACAAAAACGAACTAATACAGAGAGATCCCTTGTACACTTTGCTTAGTTACCCCCAATTGTAACATTTTATAACACTATATTATAACATTGTAGCCAGAATACCACCATTGATAAAACACTTTTTTTTTTCCAGGCTGGAGTGCAAGTGCTGCGATCTTGGCTCACTGCAGCCTCCGCCTCCTGGGTTCAAGAGATGCTCCTGCCTCAGCCTCCTGAATAGTTGGGATTATGGGCACATACCACCATACCCAGCTAATTATTATTATTATTATTATTATTATGTATTTTTAGTAGAGACAGGGTTTCAACATGTTAGCCAGGATGGTCTCAATCTCCTGACCTCATGATCTACCTGCCTCAGCCTCCCAAAGTGCTGGGATTATGGGCATGAGCCACCATGCCCAGCCACAATCCATTTATTTTATTCAGATTTCTTCAGCTTTACTTGTACTCATTGGTGTGTGCATATATGTGGGTGTGCCTATAGCTCTATACAATTCTATCACCTGTGTAGCTGCATGTATCCACCACCACAGTGGAGATACTGAACAGTTCCATCACCCCAAGAATCTCTCCTGTTGCTCTTTTAGAAACACACTCGCCTCCCTTCCACCTGACCCCTCCCACCCCATCTCTAACCCCTGGCAATCACACGAATCTATCCTTCATTTCTAAAATGAAACTAATCTATTCTTCATTTCTAAAATCTATTCTGTTTCTAAAATTTGTTTCTAGAAGATACATTCTAGAATACACACACACACACACACACACACACACACACACCCATGGGTGAATCTCACCCAGAAGCCTTAACGTGAGAGGACACACTTAAGATTCCACTTACATTAAGTTCTAGAATAGGCAAAACTAATCTACAGTGATGGACATCAGATCATTAGTTCCCTGGGGAGAACAGGTATGGTAATAAGGAGACCATGCATATAGCATATATAATGGTATATATAATATATGGCATATGTAATCATATGGTATGTATTTTTTTCACTCAATATCGATATAATTTACTGAACAGTCATTCAAGTTGTTGCATGTATCGGTAGTTTGTTCTTTTTTATTACTGAGTAGTATTCCATGGTATGGATGTACCAGAGTTTGGTTAACCAATCATTCACTTCTTGAAGGACATCTGGGTTGATAAATATCCAAGAATGTAATTGCTGAGTCATATGATAATTGCGTGTT